CTGGTTGGCCTCGAAGTTCTCCCAGACCACAGACAGGATGGATAAGATCCTCACCGTGCCGGACTCTGTGATCGTCTTACTACGGTGGCGGTCCGCCTGAAACAACATGCTCGTTCAGGGACAGGGCCCCGTCATTGGAGTTGGTGTCCGATGCGTCGGACCTGGGTTGGGGGACCCATGTGGGGAACTTTCAGACTCAGGGTCTGTGGTTGGCTCAAGACCTGACCCTACATATAAATGCCAAGGAGCTCAAGGCGGTGTGGCTGGCGTGTATTGCCTTCTGCTCGCACCTGGAGGGCAAGGTAGTCAGGGTCCTCACAGACAACACGGCCTTGATGTTCTATAGCAACAGGCAAGGCGGGGCTCGATCCTCTGCCCTCTGCCACGAAGCCCTCAGGCTATGGGACTTCAGTATAGCCCACGACATCCACCTGAAGGCCTTCCATCTACCGGGTGCCTGGAACGAGAGGGCGGATTGCTTGAGCAGGGACTTTTCTTCGCAACACGAGTGGTCCCTCCACCCAGAAGTGGCCTACCGGCTCTTCTGAAGGTGGGGAACTCCCAGGTGGACCTATTCGCGGCTCGGCAGAACTGACGATGCCCCTGGTTCTGCTTCTGGGGGGGCCTGGGGAGGGGCGCTAGCTCTGATGCCTTTCTCCTGTCCTGGTCAGGCCGGCTTCTCTGTCTTTCCCCCGTTCCTTCTGAAGTTTGGGATACTATATGTTAGCTGAAAAGGATATAGTAAAAGTTCTCTGCCCCTTTTCTGCATGAAACTGTTTTATTTATACAGATGCTAATGACGAGGAGTCTGTTAGATAGAAAGGCATTGGGAAATATCTGATGCTTGGCCTACTTCACATAAAGAAGAAAAATTTCTAAAATTTGAACAGTTCATTTACTCACAAATGTTCTTTGCGCAAACGTTTTCCACTTAAGGTTCAATTTCTACCTTTTTAAAAATTGTATAAAGATAGTTACCATATACATTAAAATAAAATGTTTACCAGCTGACTGAATACTTGTAACAGATACTCCACTCCTCCAAATAAAGTTTTACTTTGGGTATGAAACGATATAACTTTAATTACATTGATGTGACTGGCATATGTTTAGTTTGAGCCTCTGTTATGGTGTTTTTAAATAGCTTCCACGCAACTTGCAGGCATTTCACTCACATTTAACTAGCTTCCCCATTTTTTTGTAATTCCTCTTTTTGAAGTTAAAATAGGATAAAGAGGAATTTATGAACAAAGGTTTAGTGGGAAGAAGGTTGGATTCATACTTTAACAAATGTTGCAGTTCAAAATGTTCAGATTTAGTAGATGCTTGATTATTTGGAGGGTGAATGGAAGGTGATTGTTATATTTCAGTAACGTTCAGAAGCTGCAATCAGAATTGGGGGATTGTGCTAAGGCACTGTATTAACACGTTGGAAGACAGGGTCCCTTCTCTAAGGAGCTGTCAACTTTGACATCATAAAAATGGTTGCTATTGTTGCATGTTACTTCTCAGAAAATGCATTGGGACAAATAGGTAAAACTCATAGGGCACTTTATACTTTAAAATACATATAACTCTTAAGCCACTATGTGTAATTAGTTTTTGGAGTTGTCCAGCGTCAAGATGGTGATCCTATCCAAGTCAGCAAAATGGTTAAAACCCCCTACTTAAGGTAGATTGAAACAGAAGGGGGAGCTCCCACTGCACCAGCCAATGATGAAGGGGAGCTGTGGAAGAGCTCTCCTTAAGGTTCTACAGAAGAGAAGGGAGGGCATGGAGCTTGAAGATTTATTCCTTGGCTTAGTGCCCCACACCCTTTCATCAGTCCTAGCTCATGCAGGAAACATGGGTAATATACACAAATAGGTTTTTGAGCATCATACTAAATATAGACTTCTGCACACCATATTTGAATAGAAGAATGGGATGAGCATTATAAATCCAGTCTACCACAATAATTTATTTAAGGGACAGGCCAACTAAACATCATAGGATATTTTGAGGATTTTTAGAAACCTGTTTTCCTTAATTTATATTACTAACAATACTTTAGATCGGGGTGGGCAAACTACAGCCCACGGGCCACATCCGGCCTGTCAGACCATTTAATCCAGCCCTCAGCTCCCGCCGGAGAGCGGGGTCGGAGGCTTCCCCTGCTCCGCACAACTCTCAGGAAGCAGCCGGCATGACCCCCCTCCGCCTCCTACATAGTACACGGAGGCGTGGCCAGGCAGCTCGGAGCACTGCCCCATCCACAGGCACCACCCCTGCAATTCCCATTGGCCGTGGTTCCTGTAATCTTCTATGCACAGTTCTAATTGTGCATTAGTGAACAACAGTTAATCTTTCTGTTTTTCATCTAAGCTCATGTTTGAAATGAATTTTTACGGCATTGCTTAATCCCATTAAAACGCAAAAACATATAAATGTTTGGATGGATTTAACAATTATTGATAAGATTCAAAATCATGAGTTAGGATTAAAAATGTGAATTTGCCCTAAAAATCACATTTAAACACACAATTTGGGTTCTTTTTATTTAGAGTTCATGTTTTCAACCTTTTCTCCACAACTCTGAAGACTAGAAACTTTTCTTAATGGAACCTAAGATTCTTACTTAGTAACATGACTCCAAGAGCTGGGTCTTTAAGAAAACACAAGTCTTGTTGTATTTGGTGTTTGTTTGTTTAGATAATCAAGAGCCAGTTTCCTAGTGGCCCATCTTTGTCCTATTTGGTCCTGAATTAAAGTGGATAGAATTTGACATTAGTTACTTTTTGATAGGATTAGGTGATCATTCAAATCAATGCTTTTTGAATTTCAAGCATATCATACTCCCTAATAGCATGTGTTTAAAATAGTTTAATCCACTCATTTAAGTTAAAATTCTTTCTTTGTAGATTTATAAACCTGATGTGTGATGAATGTTGTTCTCCATTTTTCTGTTTCACCTCTCTAACAATAAGCCAAATTATGACAACTGTCACATTACTTGTGTGTTCCTATTTTGAAATGTTGTTACCTTTATTTCAGAATAAATATTTAAACAAGGCAAAGCATAGATTCCTCATTCAAGGTTATGTCAATGCTAGGTTTGAAATTCAGTAGCAGTCAGTTTTCAGTTATCCAAGAGGAGGAAAAAAACAAGAGTAGAAACCTTTAATTTTCTATTGCTATAATTGCTGGATAAATTCCAGAACTTTCTAAATTCATTTTCTCTTTTGGGTGGAGATCAAGCATGAGAGAGTAGTTTGTTACTTTTAATTTTCCTTTTTTAAAAAAAAAAAAAAAAGAAAAAAAAAAAATATAAGACACTTTTAGAATAGGTGTCTTCTCAGCCATGTAACTATATCATTGCTACTGAACTGCCATAATCCCACATTTGAGTGCATTTGAAGCTAACTGCCAAGTAACTTCAACTACTTTAGGGAATTTTGAGATGCTGACTTTTATCTTTGAGTAATAAACACTAAAATGTGCCGCCCCCCTCCATGCACTGCAGCTCTGAAAGTACCTTGGGGGTTGGAGAACGAGATGAGAAATTGCTTTGGGGATTTACTTAAATCTGAAAACAGAATGTATTTGAAAACAAGCAAAAAAAAAATGTTGGTCTTTTAAAAAAAAAAAAAAAAAAATTGAAAATGCAGGTCTGTATGCCAGTGTTCATTAATCTGAAATCCATGAGTAAAGCTACCTTTCGTTGCGTGAGTGAAAAAAGTGTTTGTTTGTTTTTTAAATGGTAAAGTGATAGATAGTATGGCAACATTAAATTTAATAAACACATTTTAGTGGCCACTATAAGCAAACAATGTTCTTTCTGCAATCTGCTAGAAACGTTTTAGTACATTCCCCTAGAGGGAAAAACAAAGAATTTCCACTTGCTTTTAAAGCATGTTTAGGGCTTCACTGAAAAATTCCAAGAATCCAAACGTAGTTTGTGTGTAACTTGTTCCAAAGCTCAACACATTTCAAGAAGATGAACCTAAATGCTGTACTGAAAGCGTGGTGTTTTTTTTTTTTTTAAAGCTAATTCTGCTACAGCATGCTGTACAGAAGCAATTTGTTAGGTTTTAATTTCCTGCGGTTAGCCTTTAACAGTCAACATAACGAGAAAATGATCTTTCACCATTTTCACTGTGAACTTGTACGCATAAACTAATTCCAGTATTTGCCAGATTTGGGAAATATTCTGTGCTAGCCTTCTGAAAGTCAGTGTTGTTTTCTTCTGTTCAGTCCAACTCAGCTGTCCTCTTTAGAATCCACATGTGATAAATTAAACACTGTCTTCAAAAGGATATTAGCCTGAGACCACCCACAAGTACCTAACTCCCACTTGTCTCCTGGACTTTTCATCTTTTCTATATCTGTGAGATCAATTTGTCAATTACATCCACATCTCGGGCTTTTCTGTGCATATATGAAGTAAGCAAAAAGCTGGTGAAAATTTGAATTTCATGTTTTCTGCTGATCTTATTTTTTCATGTCCAACATCCAAGTTTTGCATTTTCCATTAAATTTGTGACCATAATGAAAATATTACAGCCTGGTTTCATGAGTTACCCTTTAACTTGTCACATAAAACATAGATCACACCTGTTGATACTCATGGTATTAACATTCTCTGAGCTGCTTAGGAAATCCTCACTTTTACATTCCTCCAAACTTTTCCCCCTCCCAAAGAAACAAATGGATTTTGCTTTAATTTATGGCCTGATCCTGAGGTGTGCCAAGTACCTGGGAATTGGCATCTTTCAGGATCATGCCCTGAATGACTGTACAGAGCTATCATAATTGCTTAGTGAGAGCATGTTTGTTACAGATTACATAAGTGTAATAACTCAGTGATTCTTTGGTTTAATATCTCTGCTTCCTAAAATATAAAATGTACAGTATTTGGGAGATGGAATTTTATTCTTTAACTTTTTCATGAATCATACAGAATGCTAAAACAGATGTCTTTATTTAAAAAAACACCCTTTTTTTCCCCCCTCTTACCACAGGATAATGAAAAGAGGACCCCTTTACATGCTGCTGCCTATCTGGGAGATGCAGAAATTATTGAACTACTTATTTTATCTGGTATGTTCTGTTCATGTTGATGAAAAAAATTCTGTGCACAAATATGTTAAATGTACTTTTAGTTTGCATAATATTATCAGGCTATTTAATGTGCTAAGAATTCAGTTGAAATTTGGGGATTTTTGTACTTAAACTTTATTTTAGACTCCTTAATTCAAACCACTGTTTTAATAATTTTCAGTTATTATAAAAAGTACCTTCTAGTGGTAAACTTTCTCAGTGATGTCTGCTATTTATTAGTAGTTTATGACCAAATTCAGTTAGTTTAAAAGTCTGGACTGAGCTGTATTTAAAGGAGTATACTTAATATCTAAATGTTGCATACATTTTTTACTATAGTGAATTTAGAAAAATGACTAGATGTTAACATTGAAAATGGCATTCAAAAGTGCTGATATTTCTACAGATTAAGAAGAACATTATTTTTCTAGTTCTCTTTTGCTAACTCATATACACACAAGATTTTTAGGACCTGATAAGAATGAAATAGGAATTTAAAAATCATTTTTCATGTTTACTACTTCACTTGCAATACAGAATGCAAGTAGTGAGGCAGTATGTTCTAGTGGTTAAACCAGGAGATCAGAGTTATTATTCCAGCTGTGCAATTGATTCGCTGTGACCTTGAACAAGTCCTTAATAATCTGTTACACCTCACCATGGTGGTTTATTCATGATTATAAAGTGCTTTGAGATCCTGCAGTAGAAGAAATTGCAGAATTATAAAGTACAGTAGAATCTCTTTAATCTGCACTTCACTAAACAATATACCTTATCTGCTCAAAAACTTCAGATCTTTTCCCACATCTCAGCTTTAAAAGTAATAGAATTTACTTTAGTGAGGTGTGTTATAGGAGAGCTGGTAGCACTTCCCATTTTAAGATCCTATTTTCTGTTGCTTATAACTTTGCAGAACTTCAATCATTTTGATTGAAAACTTCCATGCTAAATGTCTGCCTGAGGCTGATTTTTTGGGGAACATAGAGGTTTAGCCATTTGAGACCAAGGTTAGAGAAAAGTATGTTATTTTGCCCATGTTAAAAATTGATGACTTTTTCTTTGAGAGGCTTGAAATGCACCCCAAGTTTTGCACTAGGGACTTGAAATTTGAAAGGGGGGGTGGCCTTTGTGTCTGTCAGGGATGTGCCTTTTGCCATACGTGTGAAAAATTTGGCCAATAATCCTTTCAGAAACCAGAGTTCACACATACTCAGCAGAGACTTGGTAGAGCTTCACAGTTTTCTGAAGATTCCATCCATAATGGGCATGTTCCAGCCCAGGGCTGCCAGGGCTAAGAGGACTTTCTTTGCAATTTCAGTTTCCAGCTGCTTGGGGCTGTGCCAGGTCCAGGCACCAGAACTGAGAGCAGCCAGTCTATTTCTCAGCTATCTGAGTCCTCCCGCTCAGTGCAAGTAGCATGAAGGAGGAAGCTGCATTATTTGAATGCAAAAGGAAAAAGAACCTGACCTGGAGGGCTGGATGTGGGGAGTAGACTGGGACAGGGAGCCTGGTGGCAGGGTCCATCTCAGGCTGGCTTGATAAGGAGACTTGTACTGAGAGATGGTGGGGAACGGGGAGGTTGGTGGGTGGGGAGCAGACTGAGAGCCAGTTGATGGAGGGGAGACTGAGACTGGATGAGGAATGGAAAGGGGAAACTGGGACTGGCTGGGCAAAGAGCTGGGGGTGACATGGGACACCAAGATTAGATGGGGAGCTCTCAGAAGATGGAAACTGGGGGCCAGTGGGAAGACAGATCAGACAAGGAGGTGAGGGGAAACTGGGAATGGCTAGGTAAGGAAATGGGGAGTAGGATGAAATGCCTGAGTGGAGACTAGGACTAGCTAGGTGAGGAGAATAGGACTTGGATGAGGAGACAGTTGAGAGAGAGAGAGAGACAGACAGACAGAACTGAGGCAGGGACAGGTTGGAGGGAATGGAGCAGAAGGGGTCAATCTTGTGGGAATGGGCAGAAGAGTCTGGATCCTCTAGTGCCCACTGCCCTCCAGAGCCTGGCATGGAGCCCATGGTTCCTGAGTCTCGCCATTCCTCTACCAAGTGTTTCACAGATATTTGCTGACAGTAAAGTATCTCATCTGCCTCTAATGTTGGTCCATGTAGAGGATGACAGTCTACTGTTGTTACCAGTTATTCTGCTAAAGCAGCAGAGGTCTGTGTAGATCTAAACCTTCCAACCTTGCTGATGACCCATGTGGATGTCAATATGACAACACATAATGGATTTTCTATTTTTTTTTCAGTTTGCTTTTTTTAAAACCCAGGAAATTACATGCACAAACTATGGTAAAAGAACATTATTAGGCTTGCAAAGTCAAGCGCTTGCAAAATCAAGCACTTGAAAGATAGGAAATGCATAGGCAACCTTAATTCTGGCATCTGTAATTTGGCCCCATTGTGCATCTGCATTATGATAGTCTTTAATTACATGTCACATACTGTTCTTTCCCACAGGACTTGTACTTCCTTCAGTGCCCAGGCTGGACCTGCTCTGAGGATTGACCAGGGTTGTGTAGTGAAGGAGACTGTAGTTTATAGGACCCCGCCTCATTTTTTGCAGAAGTTGGAAGGTTGAATAGTGAATGAGGCAGGGGATTGCAGGAAGAGATAGGAGAGTCTGGTTAAGGCAGTTGAATACTGTCCTGGGGAAATGGAGCCTATCTCTGTGCCTGTGTGAAGATAGGGAAGTTGCTTAAAAATCTAACTTTTTCACAAGTGGTCAGTAATTCCTCATTTCATGGGTGTCGGTCTTCAGAACCTGCAGTTTGACTTGCAGCAATGCTGAGGACTCTCAGCTGCAACTGAAATCAATGGGTACTATATAGTATAATGTTAAGTACTCTGAAAAACCATGTCGTAGGTGTCTCAAATTGGGCACCCAAAATCAGTGGATACTTTTGACCTTAATGTCTCTGTGCCTCAGTTCTCTGTCCCTAAAATATGGATTATTAACCTCCACTGTATGGGGGGGGAGGGATAGCTCAGTGGTTTGAGTATTGGCCTGCTAAACTCAGGGTTGTGAGTTCAATCCTTGAGGGGGCCACTTAGGGATCTGGGGCAAAATCAGTACTTGGTCCTGCTAGTGAAGGCAGGGGGCTGGACTCCATGACCTTTCAAGGTCCCTTCCAGTTCTAGAAGCTAGGATATCTCCATTAATTAAAATAAAATAAAAATTTTTATTAATGTTGTGAAACACTCACATAAATTAATGATGAGCGCCATAGAGAAAAGCCCATGAGGAAAGTATTAATTCTTTCTTCAGAGCATGGTTTGAGTAGTGTGCAGTAAATAAGGCCTAGAGTGTTAGATTCAACAATGAGGAGGAAACAAAATATTGAATAGCTGCTCGTTAAGTGAGCAGTATTTATTCTGAATGAAGGAGTCCTGTGGAAAATAGTATGTGATGATGTAATTAAAGACTGTATAATAATGCATAAGCACAAAGGGGCTGAATAAAGGTTGTATAGACAATCTTAATTCTTGCATTTTCTAGCTTTTGAGTGCTTTATTTTGTAACCTTCGTATTTTTTGATGTGTAATAAATATACCATAGTACATTTTGAAGTTCTATAAATTAAAAACCAATCTACAATTATCATACTATATGAACAAAGTAAATTGCAAGGAATTTTCCTTGCTTTGCTATTGTTTCTCTTCAAGCCTGGTCTAAAGCCCATTTAAGTCAATGGGAGTCTTTCCACTGATATCAGTGGGCATTTGAACAGATCCTTACTCGTCGGTTTCCCAATCCTGCCAACAGTTAAAGCATGCATGTAACTACATAGAAGTAGTTCTGTTAAGTTCAATGGGACTATACACTTCCATAACTGTTTTTTTGGATTGAAGCCTAACCCACAAAATTTTGTAATTACTAGAGTTTTCTAGTTCTTAGTGTAAATTATATTGGCTCTACTGTCACATTATGTTATAGATGCTGCAGAAATATGGTACTGTTAAATTCCTTTACTTCCCACCCACCTCCCAAAAAACAACCAAAAACAAGCGCACCACATACACCACACAAACACTAAAATGTCTTTTAAAAAAAAAAAAAAAAAAAAATCCCTGGGAGTGAATTTTTTTTTTTATAAAAAAAAAACAGTTGGTTTGTGAATGTTTTTTTTTTTTTTTCAATTTGTTTGTATAATTTGAGATTTTTTTTTCTGTACCAAATTTCTCTAAGTGTAAGTACGTTACAAGATCCATATTGTTCATTCTCAGTGCATAACTGAGTCTTCCCTTAGCTCAAAGTTTCAAACTTTTAGCTTTTAGCATTAGTATACATGTCTTGAGCATTCTGCATTTGGGTGTTGAACACTAGGACACTTGTTCTGAGTAAACATCTGCCTGCAGTCTTTGTTGCTGCTGTGGCTTGTCTTGGTTTTCAAGCCTGTAGGATGGAAGAGGCCTGAAATCGACAATGTCGGATACAAATTTCCAGCAGAGAGAAAATATTCCTCCCATGACTTCCAGCTTACTTCCTGACAACCGTATTTCCTTTCCTCCTGAAACAATACCTCTCAGAACTCTTGAAAGTAAGCTAGTCCCTAAAGGATTCACCCACTTTGTCATCAGATGATGTCTGCCTACCTGTTGATGAACAGCCAGCATGTCATAATCCTCAAATTCTATTTGGTCTAAAAAGAATTAACTAACATCTCTAGCAAACATCTGTAAATTTGTAGAGAGGCTGGGTAGGTGAAATAGCAATGATGAAATATGAAACAGCAACAACACATTAAAGGCACATGATGGTTTCATCACATTACAACCAAGAATGTTAGGCATTGAACCAACCAGCCTCCAGTGTCTTCCCAACTGACTCAACGCTGGTTCATTTGGCGTGGCTATCTGCACTGTGTGCCAGACTCCATACCAGCCTGCCTGCTTTGTGTTTGCTCCAGCAAAAGCTGGTTGGAGAAGACCTCGCAGACAGCCTCATACATGCTGGAGGGATGTCAGGGCTTCCAACTTCGTACATCTCA